GACCTTGGGGACACCATGGGGCTGGCATGGAGACCTTGGGGACACCACGGGGACCTTGGGGACACCATGGGGCTGGCGTGGGGACCTTGGGGACCCTGGGGACACGATGGGGACCTTAGGGACACCATGGGGCTGGCGTGGGGACGTTGGGGACCCTGGGGACCCCCTGGGGACCTTGGGGATGCATTGGGGACCTTGGGGACGCGCTGGGGACACGATGGGGACCTTGGGGACACCATGGGGACACCATGGGGACACTGTGGGACCTTGGGGACACCATGGAGCTGGCATGGAGACCTTGGGGACACCACGGGGACCTTGGGGACACCATGGGGCTGGCGTGGGGACAGCACAGGGACTTTGGAGACCCTGGGGACCCCGTGGGGACCTTGGGGACGCATTGGGGACACCATGGGGACACTGTGGGGACACAATGGGGACCCTGTGGGGACCTTGGGGACACCATGGGGCTGGCATGGAGACCTTAGGGACACCATGGAGACACCACGGGGACCTTGGGGACGCCGTGGGGACATGATGGGGACCTTGGGGACACCGTGGGGCTGGTGTGGGGACCGTGGGGACCTTGGGGACGCGTTGGGGACACCGTGGGGACCTTGGGGACACCAGGGGGATGGCGTGGGGACCTTGGGGACACCAGGGGGACACCATGGGGACACTGTGGGGACCTTGGGGACACCATGGGGACCCCCTGGGGACCTTGGGGACGCGTTGGGGACGCGTTGGGGACAGCGCGGGGCCCTTACAGCAGCTGCAGGGCCGGGGTTTCGCGGAAGCTGCCCTCGCCCAGGACGTCGATGTGCCACCGCACCAGGGACCTGCGCAAACGGGGGCAAACTGGGCCAAACTGGGCCAAACTGGGGGAAACGGGGGCCAAACTGGGCTGAACTGGGACGAGAGAGTCCTGAACTGGGCTAAACTGGGAGAAAGCAGGACCAAACTGGGCTAATCTGGGAGAAAGTAGGACCAAACTGGGCTAAACTAGGAGACGCCAGTCCTGAACTGGGCTAAACTGGGACAAACTGGGCCAAATCAGCCCTGAACTGGGCTAAACTGGGGGAAAAGAGGACTAAACTGGACCAAACTTGGTCAAAACAGTGCCTGACTGGGACAAACTGGGCCAGACCAGGGCCAAATCAGCCCTGAACTGGGCTAAACTGGAGGAAAAGAGGACTAAACTGGACCAAACTGGGCCAAACCAGTGCCCAACTGGGACAAACTGGACCAAGCTGGGCCAATCCAGTCCTGAACTGGGCTAAACTGGGAGAAACCAGGGCCAAACTGCAGCAAACCAGTATCAAACTGGGAGAAACTCGTCCAAGCCAGTCCTGAACTGGGCTAAAATGGGAGAAACCGGGACTAAACTGGGTTAAACTGGAGTAAACCTGCCCTGAACTGGGCTAAACTGGAGAAACCAGAGCCAAACCAGTATCAAACTGGGAGAAACCGGTCCCAGCCCATCCTGAACTGGGCTAAACTGGGAGGAACTGGGCCTAAACTGGGCTAAACCAGTCCTGAACTGGGCTAAACTGGGCAAAACCACCCCC